TATCTCTATTAAACTCAGGTACCAGTCTATTATGTTGAATACTTATTCATATTGATTCATGCTCCCGACTAACTTCTGACAGAACCTGGGTTAAACTCTGGCTAAATCCTGAATAAACCCTGATTAAATCCCGGCTATACACTGATTAAACCTTGATTGAACCTCGATTAAACCCGGACTGAAAACGAATTCGAGTCTCGAGAGGGTCTGAATGTCGAATTATTTGACAGAGCGAAATAATACGCAAAATTTTGATGACACTCCAATTGATGATAGTACTACAACATAAAAAAATAGAAGAGAATAGTGAAAAAAATTAAGAAAAAGAGAACCCATTCGGAAGCAAATTGCTAATTGATTAGCAACAATAGCTATAATCATTTATAAAAAATGCCACTGTCTACTTGTTTTTTCATTTTGGCTTAAAAAATTTGAGAAATTGTGAAGTTTTAAAATTTTAATTCGTCGTTTCAATCAATAATTAATATGCAAAATGTAATTTGGGTGATGCTGATTATTGTTTATAGTTGTTCGTAATTTAAAAATTCCCTGCCCTCGACTCCCTTTTAAAAAAATCCCCCTCAGCAATAAATACCTGCAATTTTTGCGCGCGAAAACCCTCATTTCACTCGCACGAACACATTAACACTTCATAAAATGACAAGCACCCGTCGATTGTGTCATCGAACTAATGAAATGGCCGGAACTATTACTCACAAGACCCACAAACGGAGTGAAGACAAATGTGGTAAAAAGAAGCGAGAATTAATGTGGAAGCAGAATGAAGAACGGGAAAGCACCGAAACGTCAGTTCTCGACGGATAATAAATTCCCGACAGCTTGTCGTATCACAATGTATTGTGTTGGGTTCAGTGAACCCAGTGCCTACAGCGAGATTCGTTCGACTTTAACAACGATCGTTAGTTCAGCATTAGCACTGGTGAATTTTAACAAAAACACCTGCCCGGGCCATTATGCGGTCATAATATGCAAAGAGACTTTATTAATTCGAAATTCTTGCCGACATTTCGAGCGCTAAATGCACTCCTCTTGAGGGCAATCTTCATTCAGATTTAAAATCCCTTTGTTCAATTAATTGTTTATAATCATTCTCATTGCAAAAAGCAACACGACTGTTGAGAATCAAATGTCCCAATTCATCAGCTCTTAAATTTTCATATTACAATAAATAATTTGCTCATGTTCTAATTCCTACGCTCACTGAATAAGATTTTAATCATAATTACAATTCAATTCCTTCCGGAACACACTTTAGAGTGTGAATTTCTGGAATTCAATGTTTGTTGATACTCTGGTAAAAGTGCGTGTCCACACTGTTATCAATTTTTAATTAGTTCACACGGTAATTCAATTAATCTGTTGTTCACCTAGTCAATATAATTCCGTGCTTAGAGTATTGTCATCTCGTGTTATCAGCACTACATTAAAAATTAAAACTTCATTTGGAATATTGAGTCACAGCTTCTTTCTATTCACATCAGAAATTTTGTATCTGGATATTAATATTATTTGTTCAAAGTGAAAAAATCGAGCATCATTTTCACTATATTGCATTCAGATTCTCCTATCCTTAACGTCAAAAATATGAGACAATCTCATATTTCTAGCTATTAATTCTAATCAACTTTGTTCGAAGAAAACCTCAGTAAACGCAATATTAAGAAAGTAGAATTATTCTATTTTCCTCTGACCTGAATGATTTGGACAATTATGATTCGCTTAT